GTATATAGCTCTCTTAAATTTCCGTGTTCAGCCCAATCAAGGACCATAACAGTATTATTATCCACTCTTGAAATTCCATAAAAGTCAATAATAAACGGACAAATACCCAATTTTAAAAAAATATTTATCTCATTGTTGTATGCTATGTCGTCATTTCCAATGGATAAAATTTTTATACATGCAACTTCAACTCCACGAAACATTTTTTTAATGACTTTTTTGGATCTACCTACGTTATAAGATAATTGTGACTCGCTTAACTTTTCTGGATCTATTTGAGGCACTGAAGGTTTTTCACCCACATTGCTACCAGGAAATTTTGAATTAATTTGATCTACACTCGATTTTAACTCTGCTACAGTCTTGATTAGATAAAGTTTATGACTAGGATTAATATTATGAAGAATTTTATGTAATAAAAATTTACAGTAAGATTTACCTTTTTTAAATGTTCAATATCATCAGCTACATCTTGTGCTTCCATTTCTTTTTGTTTCGAATTATACATAGCAGTATTAAAATCAAGTGCTTTACAGATGTCTTCAAATTCCTTGATATGTTTTACAAAATTATTTTTTATCTCACTAGCATTTACATATTTTTTAAACCAATGTAATTGTGTATTTTCTTTAGCGAACTTCTTAATATTCTCTAGTTTGTTAATCAATTTAACCCAATTATCGAAATAATCTTGCTTCTCAAAACGTTCTTTATAACAACTCGGATTTCTTTCCAAGGATTCCATGGCAGTTTTTGTGAAATCAACCCGTTCTAATAATGCTGAACAAATTTTTTGACAGCACTTTGCATCCCTATTGATTGTTTGCATTTCTTGTTCTATTGTAATAACTTGTCTAAATAAGGGGATGAACTGTACGATCGTTTTGGATCTAATAATTCAACGTTAGTTATCATTCAAAATAACAAATTCGAGGAATAGATACTGATTAGAAGTAGGGATGTTATGGTCCATAATCCAGGCCGGTCTTTTGGAACAGTTCAAGTAGTTTTGATAAATTGAGGACCAGTTAGGACCGGTCCATAACCTACGACTGATCTCAAACGCGTTTTTTGTGTTTATAAAATGATCTTGCTAGTTAAGAAAGATAATTCGTAATAATCATTTATAGCTACCTGGGACAACAGAAAAAATTACCAATGACAAAATCGTTAAGCTTCTATGTCAGCCTAATTCAGTAACTTATTCATTTGACTCGGTAACTTATTGACTCGGTCATTTTCAATTTTTTTCAGTTGTTTCAGGATTTATGATAACAGCTATAAGTCAAAAAATATAAAATGAATATCACCGAAATATCAGACAATTTTGAGATATTAAATTACAGGCTCATCGTTGATATATGTTAATACAACATTTACCAAACATAAAATGCAATAGTGTA